GTCTGGCAGTCGTCGTCCTCGTCGAGGAGGAAACCAGCCGCGCAAGGAGAAGCAGTCGACGGCGTCGACTCCGGCGAAGGTCGCCGACTCCTCTGCAGGCGGCAAGGCGGGGGATGACAAGAGGACTTCGTGCTCAATGGTCGGCGTTGTGGAGTCGACCATCTCGCTGGCGCTGGAGGACGGAGAGGACTTCCAGGCGGTGGCGGCGGCTGTGCAGGCGAACCCGGCGGTCGTCCTGCTCAACAGCAGCTGCTCCCATCACCTGATGGGAACGAGGGAAGTTTTCGTCGACCTGCAGCTGAGCGGCCCCATCAAGCACGTGCGCGGCTTCAATGGGGCGCTGCAGGACGTCCAGGGCTGCGGCACCGTCGCCCTACAAGGGGAGGCCGGAAAGCAGGTGCTCATCCCCGACGTGTTGTACGTCCCGGGTGTGCGGGCCAACCTGCTGTTGGCCGGCCAACTTAAGGAGCACGGCGTGAAGCTGCAGGAGGACGGCGACGGGATGCTGCTCGTCTCGGCAGCAGGAGAAGTGCTTGGTCGGGCGACGTACTCCGGGCGAGTACTCTGCACCGACCTGCGTCCCTGCTTAACGAGGCCGACGCCGCCCACGAAGGAGGTTGTGGCCCTGCGGGCAATCGTCTCGAAGACGAAGGTTACGCCGGACAGGATGCACGCGAGACTTGCGCACGTCGGCATGGACACCATCAGGAGCTCGGCGAAGAACGGGGTCGCCATTGGGCTGGACCTCAAGTCGGCGACGGGCGCCGATTCACCGTGTGTCTCGTGCGTCGGAGGAAAGCTGGCGCGGCACACCTTCCCCGACCAGGGCTCCGACGCCGACGATGTGCTGGCCGTCGTGCACATCGACCTGTGCGGGCCGTTCCGCGTGGCTGCCAAGGACGGCAGCTTGTACTTCCTGCTGCTGAAGGACCGCAAGACCCGCTTCGTGTGGGTGCGGCCGGTCGCTAAGAAGTCGGATGTGTTGCTGGAGTTCCAGAAGTGGGTGGTGATGGTGGAAAGGCAGATGAAGAAGTCGGTGTTGATGCTTCGCTCCGACCGAGGCGGGGAGTTCCTCGGGACGACGTTCACCGACTTCGTGGACGGAAAGGGGATCGTCCACGACCTGACCTGCCCGTACACCCCGCAGCAGAATGGCATGGCGGAGAGGGAGATGAGGACGTGGTAGAGTCGGTGCGGACGATGCTGCTGCACATGGGCGTGCAGCACCATTGGTGGCACCTCGCTCTGCGGCAGGCCGTCTGGGTCCGCAACTGCCTGGAGCGGTCGACGCTGCCTCCGGGGACGACGCCGCACCAACTGCTGACCGGCCAGAAGCCCGACTTGTCGATGGCGCGGGTGTGGGGCTGCATGGCGCAGTTCCTTGTCCCCGAGCAGCAGCATGGTGAAAAGCTGAAGCCGAAGGCCAGGTGGGGCCTTCACCTCGGCATGTCGACGGCGAGCAAGGGCTGGGAGCTCCTCGACATCGACACCAACCGGGTGGTCACCACGTCGGACGTGGTATTCTACGAGGATCTGTCGCTGGCCGAGTGGAAGTCGGAGCACGGGCCGGTGTCAGGACGGACGGCGACCGCCCCGCCGACCGATACCTCGACGGCGACGGTGCCTCTGCTTGCCGCGGTCGGTGAAATTGCTGATGAGGACGTCGAGGTCGTCCGTCCTCCTTCCCCTTCCTCTACGACCCCTGCCCCTCCCCTCGTGGCCGACCTGCACGTGCTGACTCCTATGTCGGCCTCCGGCGATGAGGGGAGTAGTGGGACGTCGCCTTCGGCGCCGGCCAAGGGCATCGCCGATGGCCGACGTAACGAGCGGCAAGTCGACGTCGGGGAAGAGCAGGCCGAGGAGGAGCAGCCGACTTGGGTGAAGGTACCAGCAAGGCAGTTGCCGGCGGTGACGCCGACTACGGAGCAGTCGGCAACCATGCTGTCGGCAGAGGAGCCGACCACAGGGGAGAGGTCGACCAGGAAGTCGACCGAGGTGCAGCAGGGCGACGAGGGCAGCGAAGCCAGTGACGAAGGGAAGAAGTCCACCGACAGCGACGTGGTGGAGGTCCGGCCTGAACCCCGGAAGTCAGGCCGACTTCGGAGGCCGCCTGACTTCTTCGTCCCCGCTGCCTTCACTACGGTGTATGACGTGGAGGATGACGACGACCTGCTGTACGACGACGCCGAGGAGGATGAGGAGTTTCCGGAGCTCGACCCTGACATGCTGGCCGATCCCGAGCATCGTTGGGACATCTCGACGATGACGGTGAAGGAGGCCTTGGCGAGCTGGAAGGGCCCGGCGGTGAAGGCCGCCATGGAGGAGGAGATCCGCAGCCTCATCAACATGGGCACTTGGGAGCTGGTCGAACGCCCGCCGGGAGTCAACATCATGAAGAACCGGTAGGTACTGACGACGAAGTACCACGTCGACGACACCGTCGAGCGCGAGAAGGCGAGGCTGGTCGTGAAGGGCTTCACTCAGGTGTATGGCGCCGACTACGACGAGACGTTCGCGCCGGTGGGCAGCTACGTCACGCTGAGGATCTTCCTCAGCATCGTCGCCGTCCTCAACCTCAACCTGATGCAGCTCGACATGAAGAATGCCTTCCTGCAGAGCAAGCTCGACCGGGTGCTCTACATGACTCAGCCGGACTACTTCAATGACGGAACCGGCCGGGTCTGCAAGCTGCTGAAGAGCCTGTACGGGCTGAAGCAGTCGCCGCTGCTGTGGTACTTGGCACTCAACGACGTGCTGGTCGGCGCCGGGTGGAAGAAGAGCCAGGTCGACGAGGCTCTCTACTTCAAGGTCACAGACGACGGAGTGGCCTGCTAGGTGCTGGTCTACGTCGACGACCTGCTCGCTGCCAGCAGCAGCACCGAGATGCTGAAGGAGCTGAAGGAGCTGTTGGAGTCTGCCTTCGAGCTGCGTGAGATCTCGCCGGTGCAGAAGTACCTTGGGCTGGAGATCGTCCGCGACAGGTCGGCGGGGAAGCTGTGGCTGCACCAGCAGGGCTACGCCGACAAGCTGCGTAGGCGCTTCATCGATGAGGAGCAGACCGGGCGCACCCCGAAGACCCCGGTCTCGGTCGACGCCTACGTCGAGCTCACTTTTGATGACGAGGAGGCACAAGCGCGACAGGAGGAGGAGTACCAGCAGAAGGTCGGCTCGCTGCAGTTCGCGGCGACGACGACGAGGCCGGACATCGCCTTTGCCTGCAGCAAGCTGGGGAGCGGCCTCACGGTGAGGAGCGACCAGCACTGGCGCGAGGTCGACCGCTGCCTCGCCTACCTCGCCAACACGCGTGACACCGCCCTGGAGTTCGGCGGTGGACCTGAGTCGCTGGAGCTGGTCGGCTACGTGGACGCCGATGACGCCGGTGACAAGCAGAACAGGACGAGCACGGGCGGCTACGTGTTTGTCTACGGAGGGGCCGCAGTCTCCTGGTCGAGCCAGCGCATCAAGTGCGCGACGCTGTTGTCGACCGAGTCGGAGTACGTGGCGGCCACCGAAGCCGGCAAGGAGGGACGCCGACTTCGCTTCCTCCTTGCAGAGTTCCAGCAGCTAGATGCTGGGAGGCCGACTGTCCTGCGAGTGGACAACAAGTCGGCTATCACAGTCGCCGAGGGCATGGGGTTGACAGGCAACCTCAAGCACATGGAGCGGCAACAGGCCTGGCTGCAGCACATGGTGAAGCGCGGGAAGTTCTCGCTAAGGTACATCCCGACCACTGAGCAGCCGGCCGACTTCCTGACGAAGGCGCTGCACTATCCGGCCTTCAACCGGTGCTCCGTCGCCATCGGCCAGGTGCGCTTGGCCGACGTGGGCGACGAAGTTGACGAAGTGCAGCAGTAGGTGCCATGCCCTCATGCATGGCTGGTGCGGTGGACGACGTGCTATCAGTTGGGTGCACGTCGACGAGCTATTCTCCAAGGAGTACTGCCGTGTGGGCTTGGGGCCCAAGCGTGAACGCGGCAGGGGAGTGTCAACGGGAGTTGTGTGTTGGCCCCATCCTCGCTTGGGCGGAGCCGACTTCGTGGTCGAGTGTAGGGGTGCAGCCGACCTGTAGCAGTGGGCGAGCTGGTCAACGAGGAAGTCGACCTGCACGGGTGCCACTGCATGGGCGCCGACTTCAGGATGGCGCCGACTTCAGGAAGGTCGACCTGGGAAGTCGACCTGCGGAGGGCGTCGACTTGGTGACGCCAACTTGGGGTAGCCGACTTGGGTGGTCGGCTGACGAAACTTCTGGTCGACCTGGTAAGTCGACCAGGCCTTCTGGTCGACTTGGTGGCTGGTCGACCAGGCGTGAAGTCGACCTGGTGGTCGACCGAACATAGTGGTCGACCTGGGGAGGTCGACTGGAGGTGGCCGTCGACTTGGGAGGTCGACCGGCACATACAGGAGCAGCTGGTCGACGTGGTTGCCCGGTCGACCAGGTTACCTGGGTGACGAGGTTCTGCGAAGGCACGCGACGGTCGCCCAGGCGATGTTGGCGAGGACGACCTCGGTGGTGGTATCCCGAGGTCGACGTGGCTGATCAGAAGCAGTCGTCAGCACGAAGTTAACTTGGGTGTATGCGCTGTGCAGGTGACGAGGCACTACACGCCAATCATCTGCGAGCACCTGCGAAGCGGGTGCGCTGCTGTCCTGCGGGAGCAGCGTTGGCACGCCGTCAACCTGCGATGTTGGCACGCCGTCGACTTGCAGCACTGGCAAGCCGCGCCTCTGCACTGCTGGAGCGCGGTCGACCAAGTCGTGCTGGCACGCGGTCGACCGTGCTGCGCTGGCAGTAGACTTGCTTGCATGCTAGCTCTGATGTAGTCTAGTCTTGCCAACTTCATTGTACCATTGTTGTCAACTTTCTCTAGTGAAACTCTTGCCAAATTGCCCCGTGGACTAGCAAGCAGTGTGTGCACTAGGAAAACGACTAAGGAACGAACGAACGCAGAGATCACACGAGCACCCGTGCCTAGCAGCCCAGTCTAGCTAACGTGGAGGAGTTAGCGAGATTTCCTCGGAAGAACGAGGAAAAGAGGAACGAGGAAGCGAGAAGAGATTCCTAAGCCTCCTCCTCTTACTCCTCTACTAATCCTCCTATTCTCTCCTCCTCTTCCTCCCTCCTCTTCTCCCTCCTCTTCCTCCCTCCTCTTCCTCCCTTCTCTCTCTTCTTCTTCTTCTTCTTCTTCTTCTTCTTCTTCTTCTTCTTCTTCTTCTTCTTCTTCTTCTTCTTCTTCTTCTTCTTCTTCTTCTTCTTCTTCTTCTTCTTCTTCTTCTTCTTCTTCTTCTTCTTTTCTTCTTCTTCTTCTTCTTCTTCTTCTTCTTCTTCTTCTCCTTCTTCTTCTTCGGTTTTCTTTCTTTTCCCCTTTTGCCATGGCGCTCGCTGCAATGCCCTTCAAGGTGTTCGCCCGTTGCCCGCCCCGCGCACTGGTCGCACGACCCGCGCGCGACCCCGTTGTCTGCGGCCCCGTCGCCTCGCCGCTGGCCACGAACGTTTGCACCGGCGCCATTGACCGTCGCGAGCGTCAGCGCCAGCGACAGCGACAATCGCGAGCGCGAGTGCCAGCGCCAACGACCGTCGCGAGCGCCATCACTAGCGCCAGCGACCACCGCCATCACTAGCGCCAGCGCCAGCGCCACCGCCAGCGATGTGCTCCAGCGCCAGCAACCGTCGCGAGTGCCAGCGCCAGCAGCAGCCGCCAGCGCCCTCGTCAATGCCACCCCACTCCCCACGTCCGCACCTGTTGCCGCGTTCTTCTACGGTGGACGTTGTGGGGGGGAGGTGGCGAGGCTTGCACCCACGGCTACGGGGGTACTGAAGCCCCCTTAAACCCTCCCGCCCCTCCGTTATCCTCCTCATCACTGCCTGTGCATCTGCTCTATGTGCCTCATTGGGGGGTGGGTGGGAGAGGGTGTGGGGGGGTGGCGGGTATATGAAGGCAGCAGCCTCTTCTCCCTCTCTCTTCCGCTGCACATGTTCTCGATCTTCCTCATCCTCTTATCTTCTACTCGTGCTTCACTCGTCGTTTGTTCTCTCGTTTCGTTTCTTGTTTCGTTACTATCCGTCGTTTTTGGGCGTGAACGCCCCTCGTCGCGCACACCGGCACCTGTTGCGGGGGTTCAACTGCAATCGGGCACCTGCTGTGGGGGTTCAACCACGGTGGTTCAAACTGTTGCTTGGTGATTGCAGCACTTTGGGTAGAGCACCCCTCACTAACCAGTTCTACATGCAGCTAAGGGGGATGTTAGAACTGCACATTCTTATGAACTGCATGAATAACTATTAGTGTAGTATCATATAGATTTCTCTGTTGGCGGTTATACCCCCTTTTTTGCCACCTTCCCTTGCACTATATCTTGTATCTTTCTTAGTAGTCAACCCTTTCCCTCTTGTCAGGCTCGATCCTAGCCGAGTCGCAATTGTCAAAATGCATATTGCTGTGTAGGCTGTAGTGGGGTACTCAACAGAGAGTACTGCCCTTTTAGGGTTTCCCTTTATGTACTCCCTATGCCTCCTAGTGCAACCCTCTTCCTTATGCTATCATTCTCGTTTAGTTCTTTTACATGGTCTCAGAGCAGGCTCGTTCCTAGAGCCTTCTCCCATTTGAGCCCACCGTTAGCTTCTGCTAAATGCGCCACTCTGCTGCCCATCGCGCGCCCCCGGCGCGCTTCGGTTTTCTGCCCGCCGCGCGTCCCGGGCGCGCGTCGATTTTCTGCCCGTCACGCGCCCCGGGCGCGCGTCGATTTCCTGCCCGTCGCGCGCCCCGGGCGTGCGACGGTTTCCTGCCCGTCGTGCTCCCCGGGCGCGCGATGGTTTCCTGCCCGTCGCGCGCCCTGCCCGACCGCGCGCCCTGCTGTCGCCCGCGCAGCTCCTACCCCGCCCCCCCGCCCCCCCCCCCCCCCCCTTCTCCTCCATCTCCCTGCTGCGCGTGCAGCAGTGGGGGGAGGGTATGGGGGTGGCGGGTGTGGTATGGGGGGTGGCGGGTGTGAGTAACCAGCTGCCGCCCCTCCTCCTCTCTCTCCCACTGCCGCACATGTCACTGTGGGGGGGGGGGAGGGTGTGGGGGAGACGAGGGAGTGGCGGTGGGGTAGGGATGTCGAGGGGTGTGAAAGGGAATTTTGGGAAAATGGGGGAGGCTGAAGGGGGGTGGCCGCCGTGAAGCCAGCAGCTCCAGTCGCATGTGAGCCCGTTGCTCCAGTCGCCCGTGAGCCCGTTGCTCCAGTCGCCCGTGAGTCGGTTGCTCTAGCCGCTCGTCTATCCGCAGAGCCGGTTACTACAGTTGCCCGTGTGCCAGTTGCTCCAGTTGCCCGTGTGCCAGTTGCTCCAGTTGCCCGTGTGCCAGTTGCTCCAGTTGCCCGTGTGCCAGTTGCTCCTGTTGCCCGTGTGCCAGCAGCTTCAGCCGCCGCCCACCACCTCATCTCCTCTCATGGTCCCACCTCCTCCTCACTTGCCCTCTGTTTCTTCCGATAAACTCTGCATGTGAACTGGCCTTGTGGCCGCTTGCTTGTGCTCGGAATGCGTGGTGACTTCGTGATCCACCCTGAGCTTGCTTTGCTTTGCTTGACTGGTCATGTGACCGCTTGTTGTGTTGGCTATCCCCCACTTCGCCTATGGGGGTGTGTCAAAATGCATATTGCTGTGTAGGCTGTAGTGGGGTACTCAACAGAGAGTACAACCCTTTTAGGGTTTCCCTTTATGTACTCCCTATGCCTGCTAGCGCAACCCTCTTCCTTCTGCTATCATTCTCGTTTAGTTCTTTGACAGCAGTCTAAACTAAACCTAAGAGCCATGGATACAAAGTTAACATAACTTTCAACAAATACAAAATATAGTTCAAGGGAAGGTGGGAATGGGGGTACACCACCAACATATAAATATTACAGTGATACGATATGTGCATGCACTTAGACAAGAATATATAATTCTAACAACAGCACATATCCACATTTGTTCACCGACATCAATTGCACTTGTACATGCTGATGCTATACTATATTGTTCGATCATACCATCCGTCGTATTAATCGACGATGGTGGGATACATGTTTATGTTGAATTATACGCCCCCCCGTCGCGCGCCACCATCAGTCCCCGCCCGCCCTCCCTTCAACCCCATTGCTGCTGCTGCGGCAGCAACAACCGCCACTGAGAACGGTGGTGACGGGTGTGGGGGGGGGGAGAGAAGGGTGAGTGGGTGGCAGGGGTCCGCCTTGACCAATAGACGCTGCCCTCTCCTCCCTCTCCCTGCTGCTTTTGCAGCGGGTGGGGGAGGCAAGGGTGAGGGGGTGGTGGGATCCTCCAGCCGCCTCTCCTTACCTCGCCACTCCTCCAGCCGCCTCTCCTCACCTCTCCTCCTCAACTCTCTGCTCCTCTAGCCGCCTCTCCTGATCTCTCCTCCTCCTATCTCCTCTCCTCCATCTGCCTCTCCTCCTCTCTCCTCCTGTGCACTACCAGCTTCCTCCTCCTCACCAACAGTTGTGTTTGCTCGCAGACGGCGAGCGACCAGTAGCCTTCGCCCTCCGTTTTAGCGCTCCAGCTCCTGCTCCTGCTCCGATCTGGTGTTTACAGGTGCTGCCGGTCAGCCACCGCTGATCTGTGCATATCCCAGCTACAAGCAACTGCTCTCCAGGCGACCTGGTCCCAAACACCACTAGCTATAGCCGTAGGCAGTTACGGGGGTGTGTTGAATTATATTGCATATTTATAACTGCCTACAGCTTGCTAGTGTACTAGATTAGTTATTAGAACCAACTGCTGGTGGTGTACCCCTTTTTCAAATGTTGTAGTCTTAGTGATGTGTGTCATAGGGGGTACAACTCTTAGGGTTAGGTTTATGTACCCCAACCAACATTGTGAATGCAACACTTTCGATTCTGACATGGTATCACCTTGGTTAGGATCCCGTGGGATCCCGTTCCTCACGTTCACGCTCGTAGTGCTCGAGCCTGCTCCGAACCCTCCTGTAGGTCACGCTCGTCTCGTACCCTAGCGCCCGCTGCGCCTGCCCCGTTCTATCCGTCACGTCGTGCCTGCCTGCCGCGTCGCGCCTGTCCCGTAAGTCCCGTCAGTCGCGTCGCACCTGTCCACCGCGTCGTGCCTGTCCCGTCGCATCGCGTCTGTCCGCCGCGTCGCGCCCGTCCCTACCCGTCTCGTCTGTCGCGTCGCGCCTGTCCGCCGCGTCTCGCCTGTCCCCCCCCCCCCTAACAAATCTGCTGACAGCGTGCTTGCTGTCAGCGTGCTTGCGCCCGTTCCTGTCCCTGCTTGTCTACCGCGCCCCCGCTGCACCCTGCCCGTCCGTCGCGCCACGTGCGCCCTGCCCGTCCATTGCGCCCCCCATGCGTCCTGCTCGTCCGTCATGCCACGTGCGCCCTGCCTGTCCGTGGCGCCCCCGCTGTGCTCTGCCCGTCCGTAGCGCCCCGTGCGCCCTGCCCGTCCGTCGCGCCCCCGCTGCGCCCTGTCAGTCCGTTGCGCCCCGTACGCCCAGCCCATCAGTCGCGCACCCGCTCCGCCCTGTCCGTCCGTCGCGCCCCGTGCGCCCTGCCCGTCTGCACCTGTCGCGTCCGTCCCTGTCAGTCGCGTCCTGTACCATGCGTCGCATTACCTGTCGCATTTAGGGTTTAGGCTATGGTGACCCCTAGGGTCTTGCGCTTTGACGCTGAGGGTAGGCCACTCAAGTTCTCGGTCTGGCTCCTGCATGCGCGCCGCCTCCTAGAGAGTCAGGTTCAGGCGGGCGAGACTTTGTGAGCGCACACTTCCGGTGACCTTCCTGAGCCCGCCGACCCTGCGCCTTTAGCAGCTAACCCCACACCTGCACACAGTGAGCGTTATGCACGCGAGCGTGCTGACGTCACCGCGTGGAAGTCGCGTGACGCTGCGGCCTGCATCGCCCTTAGCAGCCTCCTCCCTGAGTCTGAGGAGGCCCACTTCACTCAGGTTCACACGGCCAGTGAGTTCCTGACCGCGATCAAGGTCTGCTATGCTACTCCCACCACTGTCTCTCTTGGTCGCCTGTTCCTCCCGTTCCTGTTTCCTGACCTCGCCTCGTTTGAGCGCGCTGCTGACTGGATCACTAACCTGCACTCGCTCGCTTGACTCTAGCTACCGCGCTGCCTGCACTGACGCACAGCTCGCACTGCTCCCTCCCCCCATGGCGATTACTATCTATTTCATCTCCACTAGCATCCATGACTGCCTTGCCTCAATTCGTGACGCGCTTCTTTTGAAGCACCCTAGCGAGCTCACTATCGGCGTCCTTGAGTCTGCCCTCAAGGACGTCGAGAGCAACCTCCGCTCGGTAGCCTCCGCCTCTGGTGTTGTGCCCCCTCCACTATTTCACGGGTTGTACTGTCCCTCAGCTGCCCACCTTTACTGCCTCCCTCGCCACTGCCGCTACTGACGTGACCGCAGCTGCTGTTACAACTTCTTCGCGGTCTCGGGGTAGGGGTGGCAAGAGGGGCAGTCAAGGTGCGGGCGGAGGCGGCGGAGACGGTGGGGGTGGCGTGGCGAGCG